TGTTTTTTGTATATAAAATTTTTTAAAAATAAAATTAAAAGCCGGGTTGCCAGGTCATTTTTAAAATTTTACGTTATAAGAACCAAAAAATTAACTTTATATGGCCTAATATTAAATAGTATAAAATAAAATAATTAATAGGTATTTGTTTGGCCATTGTATTAAATTTAGTACATCGTAAAAAAATAATTTTAAAATAACTACAATTTCAATCTTAACCAAACTTTATTAAAAGATATATTAAATATAACTTTATTTATATGTAAAATTTTAGCACTAATTACAAATACCAATTTTGTAAAAAACAATGGAAATAACATGGATGTAGTTGACCTTAGTGTTATGGTAAACTGGCATGAGCAATAAATAACTATTAACCAACGTGCAATTCACCTTGCATACAACCAAGATTGTAAAATTAATATTCTATCAGTAAGTTTGGCTTCGCTATATAAATTATTTCGCCGATATCTTCTACTAGATTATTTTGAATAGTTTGTAATTAATTCTATTAATAAATGTGGAAAAGTTACTTCAAATTGAACAAATATAACTATTAATAAATATATAAGATGGTTAGGCTTATAGGTGTTAATGTCTGTTTTTCCTATTGCTGATTGTCATTTTTATTGGAAAACAATTCAAGAACAGACACAGTCTATGCTATTATTTAATTTTCAATATTGGATAAGTTATTTATGATTTGAACAAATAGTGTTATACCATACTTTAATGATGTTAAGTGAATTAGAAACTCCAAATCTTAATAATTCTTTATATTCTGTTCACAGTTTCATTAACAATTTTAATAACAACCTAGTTAAAGCTATAAAGCCTGGAAATACTTTATGTGTTGATAAATCCATGAATTTATAATTAGGTGAAAAAAATAAAATCTCTGGCCATCGCAAAATACTACGAAAACCACATCCAATTGGACAAGAGTAGAAAGTAATTGCTGATAGTTCTACAAACATTATTATTTAGCTAGAATCCTGTGAGGAAAAGGAAATCAAAAAAAAAAGCAGTTTATATCAGAATATGGTAGTATTGCTGCCTATGTACTTTGATTAGCATGGCCATAGTTTGGAAGTGGGCATACTATAGTTGGTGATAGTTGGTTTGGATCACCAAAGCTTTGCTTGCTTTTAATGCAAAATAGATTATATGTTATCTTTTATATTAAAAAAAAACATGCTAGTCTCTTAATTATCCTTATGATATGATTCAAAAACTTGAAAATATATATAGATCATATTTCTCAAAAGTTGCAATTGTTAATAGTGTACATTTAATTGCAGCTTCTTTAAAAGATAAAAAACTACAGTGTATTATTGCAACAGCATCAACTACAACACAAGATAATGAAGTTGAACGTATAGTCAAAGATCATAATAATTCATCATTAGTTAAATTTACATGGCCTAAAATCTTTTCTGAATACTCTTTTTCAAAAGATGTAGTCGATATTAATAACCAGGTTGTTATTTTTATAATGCTAATATTGATAATAAGTTATGATGTAATTATTATATAATCTTATTATAACTTTATTTAATTATTAGATGTGCAATAATATAATCTCTTTTCATGATATAATGTGTGGATCAGATTGGCAGATATGTGTATTGGCCTTTTTACTAGGAATTGCTGTAGCCAATACATTTTTATCATTTAAAAAATAGCATGACAGAGCACATGATACTTTGCACTTTGATTTTAGATGACAATTGGCATTTAAAATTCTTAATGAAGATTACCTTAATTTAAGGAATCCATTACTAAATACAAAGCAAAAAGCTCCAACTGAACTATAGCACAAATTATTATTTCTTCCAAAAAAAAAAAGACCCAAAATATTATAACTTATTTGCAGCTTTGCTGCATATATTGTGGTACAAGAACAAGGTATCACTATATGTGTAATAATTCAAAGGAGATGTGTATTAGTTGCTTTGGTAATTATCTTTTAATGACTTAAATATATCAAAACAAAAGACTGATCTTGGGCAATTTATATTTTTTTTTTTATAATAGTTTATTATATTAATTTTGAAGTTTTTTTTTTTTTTTTGCTGTACTAAATTTAGTACAGCA